AAATCCATGCTTATTTAACATTGTGTCACCTTGGTTCAGCTTATAATCATTTGCTTATACAATACACATTAAGCTCTTAATCTATACAATGTGCTTCTAACGATTGATAAAACAAGTTCCATGTTTGATAATATTCTGCATCTTCCTTTCTTTTGATTTTCAGTGTCAGTCTATCCATTTCAGTCCAGTCCAATCTCTTTTTAATTATTTCTTGATTTGTAGGTGTTTCAAATACATTGCTTGCGGCTGTTAAAATATCCAGTATTAAATATTAGGTATAATACCAGAAAGTTCTGATAAACAAAATGTATATTTAATACTGCATATTTTAACAGCCACAAGCAATGTATTTGCACAATACTGGAAAAATGAAGAAACACCTACAAATCAAGAAGCACATTCTGCTTTCCCCTCCTTTGCTTTAGTAGATTGTTAAATTGAAAGCTTCCAATGACAGCAGACATTCACTGCCCCTCAACCTTAGCAATCAGCTGCCTTCGAAAACAATTATTTTTAAAATCTTGGAGAAATTCTAGAAATCTGGATCTTCGTGGATTGTTTATTTAAATGGAAGAATGCTGAATTGAAAGATGCCCACACAGCACACATACACTGCTTACCCACTGCTTTCCCACTTTACAATCCACCCATTCAACAGGAGAGGTGACAGATATAAGCTTTTGTAAATTGTGACCAGGGAAATATAACAGTCCTTGTTAACAGCCAGTTATGTTTTGTGGATATGTTTCAATGGGAGCTAGGATGGGGCAAGAGTAGGTACAGATGAGTCACCAGCTCCTTCCCCACGAACCAAGGGCCTTCCCTGTGAGGTAGTTTAGCTGAGAAACAGTGTGTGGCTGAGTGTCACTCTGTGAGGGTTTCATGGTACAGCAAGGATTTGTACCTAGGGTTTTGGAGTAAAAGTTCAAAATTCTTATCTCTGTACCACTGGACCACCATTGCCTGTATTAGCGGCCACAGCTACTAAATCGTGTCTTGTTTGTTAATTTGTTTACTAGCTTTGAAAAACCATGTAATCCAGTACAGTAGTCATCACTATGCATCAATTCTTAGAACATACATTTCAAATATTTTAGAACAGTTACATGTTTGAGTACTGTAATCCTTCCAGAAACCCTGTGAGATAAGTTACAGTAACTATCATCCCCACCTGAAGCCATGAGAACTGGTCTAAAAAAACCCAGTGAGCTTCTGGACACTTTGAGGCACAGTTCAGTCAGGGCTGCTTTGTCCCACCGGCCCATCCAGTGGATATGACTTCTGCATGTTAATCTGCTCCAGAGTAGAGATGGGAGTATTCTTATTTGTATAAAAATATTCCCAAACAGGTGGAAATAATGAGGGTCCTGCCCCCATGGGGCACTGATTTCACTGCTGCTGCCAGCTCCATGGAAGCTTCCTATCGCGCCATTCTCCGCAGTGGATTAGCCACTCTGCGACCTAGCAGAGAGGCTTGTCATCCCACCTCCTGCCAGGAGTGGGTAATCAATTGTGGGCAACAGCGCAATAGGAAGTAGCGGCAGCAGCGGCGAAATCATGAGTGGACCATCCAGCCCCATGGGGCTGGACCCTCGTTATTTCCACCTGTGTGGGGATATTCGTATACAAATACCCCCATCTCTGCTCTAGAGTAGGAGATTGTGATTATGGATCAAAGGAATGTTGGGCTCTAAACTGGTCCTGAGCCAAGGCACCAGAGTCTTTAATCAAACTTTGGTGAATACCTCCTTTTCATGAACTGAAAG